AGGCTGAGGAACGGGCCCAGGTTGACAGAGGGGGACACAGCCACCGGCAGCCCAGGGCCCTGAGGCTGTTCTATGCCGTGAAGGGCATTTGCTGGGACAATTGTGGAGAAGCAGACGGGTCACGGATTGCTGCTGTTGGCTGGATGGGGACGGCAGTGCTGTGGTTACAGAGGAGCATGACCTTGTTTGTAGGAAACGCACTGATGCATTTGGGGTGTGGGGCATTGAGCCCCATACTTCCCCTCAAATGGTTCAAGTTACCTGTGCTGTACTTGTAACTTTTCTACGACTGAGATATTTTCAAATTTTTTTAGAAAATACAATCTATCCCCTAAAAAAGAAGAGACGTCCCTGTCTGCCTCACAGCCAGCATTCCCTCCCCTGCTCCTGGCAGCGCTGTGTTTTGGACCCCGGCTACACCAGCCAGGCCCCTTCTGCTGCCACCGGGAGCCCTTCGGGTACTTCCCTGTCGCTTTTCAGTTACCGAGCTCCTCATCAACATCCACTGGGGCCCTTGCGCGACGAGAAGCCTCATGAGAGCGGGGACAGCCCCGGCCTGTTCTCCTCCCTCCCCTCACAGGCACAAAGCCCGCATGGCACGCGGCAGGGTTTTATTATTTATTTATTTATTTATTATTTAATTATATATTATTTATTTATTTATTTATTTATTTATGATTCCTCGAATGAAGGCGCAAGGTTCTGAGGGACCCAGAGAGGAGCAAGCCCAGTCATGGCCCTGCCTTGGAGGGGCTCAGACCTGGAAGGGGGGCAGCCACACAAAGGCGCTCCAGACACACTCGGTCCCTCGTCAGGATCGAGGTCCCTCGTTCCACTCTCCAGCTGTCCAGCTGCTGAGTGTTGCAGAAGGAGCAGCAAGGGTACTGTGTAATGAAGCAAAAAGCGGAGAGGACGAGGCCAGAGAGACCCCAGAACAGTGAAGGAGTGAGACGGAGGTTCGAAGCGCGTGCAGGACAGGGTGGGAAGAGGGTGAAACCCAAGGAGGCTGCCCAGGGGAGGCAGCCCCGATACCAGCTCCTATAGGAAGAACCAGGCTAGAAAGAGAGAAGGTCTTCCAGCAAGCGCACAGCTCATGATGGCACACATCAAAAAGGCCCTGGGGGGGGGTGCCAAAAACATCGCCAGGCTGGCGTGTCTGGGAAGAGGCAGGGAGCACAGGGAGTTGAGGCGGAGGTTGGGGACAGACTCTGGCAGGCCCGGGGCCAAGCCTTTGCGTGGTGTTCCAGCAATGGCTGCCTGATCTGTTTTACGGGGAAGAGGCCACCAGGGCAATGTGCGCAAGTCAGAGGCTGGGCGGGTGGTGCCCTAAGGGTGCAATCTGCAGATGCTGGCACAGGCAACCTCGGGACCTCCCAAACGAAGCTGTTTCAGACATACCCAGTCTCTTGTTAGGGTCAGCAGATAGTGGTCATACCCAATTAGTTTAATTAAACCCATGGGGCTTCCAGGCACTTTGGATAAAAAATAAAATACAATAAAGTAGATCCTGCCAGCTTCAGAAGAAATGACCAGGTGGGCAACTGGGATCTCTGTGACCACCTCCTAGCACCCGGTTCTGCGTACAGCAGGTACTGCATAAATGCACACTGCTATGATGATCCATTAGGGCAAATAACCCAGCCTAGATTAAACTCAAAGTGGGAGGGGCGCTCCAAGTCCTCTGAAAATAGGATGTCACCATGAGAAGCCAGGGGCAATTCTGGAAGGAGGGAACATCATAGAGGCCTCCGGGCTAGACGGCCCCATATGCCATGACTGGCAGGGAGGTGGGAGACTCCCCAGCACGTGCCCTCGAGGGGCCCTGCAACTCACTAGCCAGGGATCACAGGCACCCACCCCCCATCCCAGCCACCCCTTGAAAACAGACACACACCATGACAACCCAAGAACAAGGCCAGGGACATCTCTCAGAAAGTCCGCAAGACAGCAAGCCAGCTTAGGAAGGTCTGCAGTCATCATTTATTTAAACAGTCTTGGGAGGGAGACTGCAATCCCTATGTTGGTTTTGCCACTTACCGATCTGGGCAGGAGGGGTGGCGTGGTGAGGAGTCACTCAAGCTCTCCGAACCTTGACGGCCTCACCTATTAAACACAGGCGGCAACCCCCACCTAAGGTTGTGCTTAGGCCACAGCAGGGCAGGTAAGAAAGGGCAGATGTGATTTTTCTATGACCCAACCACCAATGGCGGAGATGACCTCTTCCCTCCCATCCCCACCCCTTAAGAAATATGAGTTTCAGCCAGGCGCGGGGGCTCACGTCTGTAATCCCAGCACTTTGGGAGGCTGAGGTGAGCAGATCACGAGGTCAGGAGTTCGAGATCAGCCTGGCCAACACAGTGAAACCCCATCTCTACTAAAAATACAAAAAATAGCTGGGCATGGGTGGGGCGCCGTGGCTCACGCCTGTAATCCCAACACTTTGGGAGGCCGAGGCGGGCGGATCACAAGGTCAGGAGTTCGAGATCTGTCTGGCCAACATAGTGAAACGTCGTCTCTACTAAAAATACAAAAAATAGCTGGATGTGGGCCGGGCACGGTGGCTCACGTCTGTAATCCCAACACTTTGGGAGGCCAAGGCAGGTGGATCACGAGGTCAGGAGTTCGAGACCAGCCTGGCCAACATGGTGAAACCCCATCTCTACTAAAAATACAGGCTGGGTGCAGTGGCTCATGCCTGTAATCCCAACACTTTGGGAAGCCGACGTGGGTGGATCACCTGAGGTCGGAAGTTCGAGACCAGCCTGACCAACATAGAGAAACCCCATCTCTACCAAAAATACAAAATTAGCTGAGTGAGGTGGCACATGCCTGTAATCCCAGCTACTCAGGAGGCTGCCACAGAAGAATCACTTGAACCTGGGAGGCGGAGATTGTGGTGAGCTGAGATAGCGCCATTGCATTCCAGCCTGGGCAACAAGAGCGAAACTCCATCTCAAAAAAATATATATATATACAAAAAAATTAGCCGGGCATGGTGGCAGGCGACTGTAATCCCAGCTACTCAGGAGGCTGAAGCAGGAGAATTGCTTGAATCCGAGGTGGAGGTTGCAGTGAGCTGAGACTGCACCACTGCACGCCTGCCTGGTCAACAGAGCGAGACTCCATTTCAAATAATAATAATAATAGCTGGGCACGGTGGCACGTGCCTGCAGTCCCAGCTACTCAGGAGGCTGAGGCAAGAGAATCACTTGAACCCAGGAGGTGAAGGTTGTAGTGAGCCGACATTGCACCACTGCACTCCAGCCTGGGCGACAGAGCAAGACTTCATCTCCAAAAAGAAAAAAAAAAAAAGTGAGTTTCCCAGATAACAAACACCAGCCATACAGAGAAATGAAGTCCCTCTCCCAGCTCCTGTGGGCAGCCAGATGCTGTAAAGGGGTTTCTCCACGTGTGAACATACAGATGGGGCCGTCATAGCCAACGTGAGGGTTAAGGGAGCACCTGCAGCCATCCCTGTGCAGGCAACAGCCGTACAAAGGCGGCCTACCCTCCACAGGACAGAGGAGTGGAGGGCAAGGTCAGCCTCAGCTACACGGGGCCATACATGCCAGTGTCCAGGTGATGGTCATTTCATGGGCACTGTGCTAAGGGTGTGCCTTCTGTGCCTGCCCTTAGCAAATCCTCACAGCATGGCTAAGAGGGGACTGCTATGACTGTTCTCATGACACAGATGGGGAAACTGAGGCTCTGGAGGTCATTGCCTACCTGGGAGGGGACAGTGCCAGGATTCAATCAGAGCAGAGAGCCACACAGATACACACCCATGTGGTCCTCCTACCGCCCAGGCCCCTACACACCCTCCACCCACCCAGCAGCAGGGCCCTTACGACACCCCTCCACCAGTCTGGCAGCAGGGCCCCTACACACCCCTTCACCGGCTGGGCAGCGGGACCCCCAGACGCCCCTCCACCGGCCCAGCAGCAAGGCTCAAGGGGCCTGTATCAGGGTTCATATTGCTGCCTGGCCAATGGCTCCAGAGACCCCAGGAAGTCTCTGGCTTGAACTTCCAGTGCAAAGGCTGAGCCAAGCCACCTGCCACAGCCAGGGCCCCCTCTTCTTCCCATCTTCCCAAACCACAGCTGGGGAGGGGCAGCCCAGAGACCCAGCGAGTCCACGACCGCAAGGTTGGGTTCCTCCCAAGCCTCCTCTGTGCTGACCCAGCTGCCCTGCCTCTGCCCTGAGCCCCAGCCTGCAAGCAGCCGGAAATCCTGCCCGAGCAAGTCAGCCTGGGCAGCCCCTGGAACTCACATCAAAGGCAGCCGCCTCGGTTCAAGGCCCAGCCCTGCTCCCCCACAGCTACCCTTCTCCTCAGTTTCTCCAGCCATAAAATGGAGTCCAGACTTCCCAGTCCCCGTGGGGCTCTGAGAACAGATCTGGGGAAGCCGGCTGCTGCGGTGACCGCCACCTGCACCTGACCACTGACACCCTGCAGGAAGAAGGGCTGACTCCCAGGGAGGCTCCTGAGGGCTCCTACTAAGCCGGTCCAGGCGGTGCTGGGTAATAATTACCCAGTGGGAAGGCAGCCCCTTCCCCTCAGGGCTTGCCTTTGTCAGCGCCCCCCCAACCCAGCAGAGAAGGGCCCGGTCTCCTAGGAAACGCAGTCACCACCAAAGGGCAGAGGCCTCGGCAGCCCAGCCTGGAATCGCTAGTGACTCACTCTCCCTCCTTCCCAGGAACCACGTCCTAAGTCCCACTGGTGAATGATCCCTCTCCACATGCAGTTGCCACTGCGCGCCGTGACGGGCTGCTGAGCTGGCTGGAAGGTGGCGCCTCGTTGGTGCTGGTTGGACCCGGCTGGCACCCCCTCTGCCTCCCCCGACCTCTTCTAAGCTGCTCCCAGTAAGGATTCCGCGACCCCCGGAGAAGAGGATGGAAGCCTCGATTCTGCTTAAGTCTTAGCCAAGTTCCCTTTAAAAGGCCAAGAAAAGCAGCTCCGTTCGGCGGGGCAGGCATTTTCCTGCCTGGCCCTGCGGCCGCACGCGTGTCTCCGCCGCGACAAAGGCCACACTCAGCGCCCGAAGGAGGGGTGGGGGTGTTAGGAAAGCGATGGGGGCCAGGACCGGCGCCAAGTGGCCCTGGGGATCCTCGAGGCGGCTCAACCCGGGCCCGGGTCCTGG